TTGATGGCGTAAACTTAAAGTAAATGTTTGTAACAGGCTCTTTGTGCTAATTCTGCTATCTGATTGGATGAGACAGACAGATATTCATGAAATTATAAAAACAAAGTCGGTTTTAATCAAAAATACTACATTTTCATGTCATTTTTGCTCTGTTTGAGTCCGTGTGAACCAGAAAACGATTAATCGATTACTAAAATAGTTGTCGACTATTTCAATAATCGATTAGTCGTCGATTAATCGATTAGTTGTTTCAGCCCTATTCACAATATGGTAATAAAACAATGAATGAAGTCCTGATTTTCTAAAGGGAAGTTATCGAAGTGTAATGTTCTCTATGCAGCTGTATACATGTGACACTGACATAGGGCAAAGTTTGGCATTAGCAGAGACACATGGAGGTGAAAGCTGTTTGTGGGGTAATTATTAGCCTCACAAAAGGTTAATGACAGCATCACGTGGTTGACCTCATGGCTAATTTTCCAGAACCAAAGTCAAGACACTTGTTCACTCCTTTTTTCCAAATAAATTTCATTATCATTGCTTGAAGAAAAGAGATTATCATTATGTGGAATGAAAGACCAATGTTATGACAGAAAACAGGGATCATTTATATCCATTTAGAAGGGCTACTTTTCTCACTAAGTGTTGGCCCAGTGAACTATAGTGTTCAGACTGTAAGATAGCGCTATCACCACTATTTTATATGGAAGCCCGTTTCCGCCATGTAAAAAAAAAAAAGCAAACGGAAAGTCAAAATTTTGAGTTTAAAACTCAAAATTACGACTTTTAAAAGTCAAAATTAGGACTTTAAAAGTCAAAATTTCGACTTTAAAAGTCAAAATTACGAGTTTTCAACTGCGCATGTGCAGTTGAAAACTCGTATGTGTTGTTGTCTGGAACGGTCTCTGGACATCCTTCACCTGCAGATTATGTGAAGATATTGCTGACAGCGACCACTGCATCCTTGAAGTAGCCAGAAATAATGTTGTTTGATTGATTCTGTAAAACTTTCCTGTTTAAGTCCCAGACCGCGGTCGTAGGACGCAGGGGGGAGCTGTCTTTTTATTTATTTATGTTAAATTCAATTTACATATACAGTGCCTTGCGAAAGTATTCGGCCCCCTTGAACCTTTCAACATTTCGCCACATTTCAGGCTTCAAACATAAAGATATAAAATTTAAATTTTTTGTCATGAATCAACAACAAGTGGGACACAATCGTGAAGTGGAACAAAATTTATTGGATAATTTAAACTTTTTTAACAAATAAAAAACTGAAAAGTGGGGCGTGCAATATTATTCGGCCCCTTTACTTTCAGTGCAGCAAACTCACTCCAGAAGTTCAGTGAGGATCTTTGAATGATCCAATGTTGTCCTAAATGACTGATGATGATAAATAGAATGCACCTGTGTGTAATCAAGTCTCCGTATAAATGCACCTGCTCTTTGATAGTCTTAGGGTTCTGTTTAAAGCACAGAGAGAACCATGAAGACAAAGGAACACACCAGGCAGTTCCAAGATACTGTTGTGGAGAAGTTTAAAGCCGGATTTGGATACAAAAAGATTTCCCAAGCTTTAAACATCTCAAGGAGCACTGTGCAAGCAATTATATTGAAATGGAAGGAGTATCAGACCACTGCAAATCTACCAAGACCCGGCCGTCCCTCCAAACTTTCATCTCAAACAAGAAGAAGACTGATCAGAGATGCAGCCAAGAGGCCCATGATCACTCTGGATGAACTGCAGATAACTACAGCTAAGGTGGGAGAGTCAGTCCATAGGACAACAATCACTCGTGCACTGCACAAATCTGGCCTTTATGGAAGAGTGGCAAGAAGAAAGCCATTTCTCAAAGATATCCATAAAAAGTCTTGTTTAAAGTTTGCCACAAGCCACCTGAGAGACACACCAAACATGTGGAAGAAGGTGCTCTGGTCAGATGAAACCAAAATCAAACTTTTTGGCCACAACGCAAAACGATATGTTTGGCGTAAAAGCAACACAGCTCATCACCCTGAACACACCATCCCCACTGTCAAACATGGTGGTGGCAGCATCATGGTTTGGGCCTGCTTTTCTTCAGCAAGGACAGGGAAGATGGCTAAAATTGATGGGAAGATGGATGGAGCCAAATACAGGACCATTCTGGAAGAAAACCTGTTGGAGTCTGCAAAAGACCTGAGACTGGGACGGAGATTTATCTTCCAACAGGACAATGATCCAAAACATAAAGCCAAATCTACAATGGAATGGTTCACAAATAGACGTATCCAGGTGTTAGAATGGCCAAGTCAAAGTCCAGACCTGAATCCAATCGAGAATCTGTGGAAAGAGCTGAAGACTGCTGTTCACAAACGCTCTCCATCCAACCTCACTGAGCTCGAGCTGTTTTGCAGGGAAGAATGGGAAAGAATTCCAGTCTCTCGATGTGCAAAACTGATAGAGACATACCCCAAGCGACTTGCAACTGTAATTGCAGCAAAAGGTGGCGCTACAAAGTATTAGTGCAAAGGGGCCGAATAATATTGCACGCCCCACTTTTCAGTTTTTTATTTGTTAAAAAAGTTTAAATTATCCAATAAATCTCGTTCCACTTCACGATTGTGTCCCACTTGTTGTTGATTCTTGACAAAAAATGTAATTTTTATATCTTTATGTTTGAAGCTTGAAATGTGGCGAAATGTTGAAAGGTTCAAGGGGGCCGAATACTTTCGCAAGGCACTGTATACAACATTTAAATCAAACGACGTCTTATTTCGACATAGTAACAAATAATGTGAGCAATACGTTTTTATAATAAATCAAAGGAAAATGAGCCATCGAGACATTCCAATCCAATCTGCTATAAACCACTCTGACCAGACGATGGCGCTGAGAGGGGTCCACATGGAGCGAGTATTTCCATGGCTGAAAGGATGCGCTTTTTACGTGTTGAGTACGGGGTTTTATTCATCATCAGAATCAGAATCAGAATCAGAATCATTTTTATTGCCACGTAAGTAACAGGAGGTCACAGACTAGGAAATTGCTTTGGCTCAGTGCAACAGTCAAAAAGAGATAATAAAAATAAGAATAAAAAACACTTCTAAAGAATAAATTCATGCATCTATAATGGGTTTAACTCCCTTTTCAAAGACCCTCACTGATATCTGCGGAGTTATTTCTCCGGATTGTTGCTTAAAGAGTCGTGGGCTTTATTTTGTCACAATAAAATAATCAGACAAGGCACTTATTCCCTGTATGTCTCTGTGTTCTTGCTCATACGCCAACAACTTTACCCGCACGCTCGCTCCATCAGCTCACCCCCGCGTGCACGCAAACACGTCACACACTCTTCAATGCACTGATCGCAATTCCAAAAGGGTAATATTGTCAGTGCCCGTGACTGTGGTTCTCCTGCCTCTGTCTGCGGACCTCCCTCACTGTCCTGTAATCGCGAACGGTCTCTCTGTCAGTCACAATATCATTCACTGCATTTCTGGTGTATCCATCGATAGCCGTGATACTGACCAGATGTCACCAGTTGATGCTCAATGACTTTGAACAGCCGCATGTGTTTTATTATTAATCTGCCACAGTCCATTTAGGATAAACTAAAAAGAAGCTTCTGAAGCGGATTCTAATCATAAACGAAGAGACCGTTTGCATTTTAACGCGATTACTACCACAACATTATTGCTGCTACTTCATGGATGTGGTCACTGTCTGTAGGCAAAATCTTCACATAATCTGCAGGTAGAGGATGACCCATGGTCATGGATCTATAACAGGGATGACCAGAGACCGTTCCAGACAACAACACATACAAGTTTTCAACTGCACATGCGCAGTTGAAAACTCGAAATTTTGACTTTTAAAGTCGAAATTTTGAGTTTTAAAGTCAAAATTTTGACTTTCTGTAGGCTTTTTTTTTTTTTACATGGCGGAAACGGGCTTCCATAATTTTACAATTGTCAGGCATAGAAGATAAAAAAAAAAAAAAAAAAAAAACGTAAAAGGGAGATATTTTGCACTGAGCTTTTAAAAATGTCATCTATGCTGATATAAGGAACTGGCACAAACATGTAACTCCGCCCCTTTTGTCTAAAAGCTCCTGTCTCAGTTCTGTAATATTATGATGTCAATATGTTGTTCTGTTGGTCGTATGTGTTAGTGTGCGTATCTGTTTGCAGCTGGTGATTTTCAAATTTGGAAAAAATAAACAAGTTCTACCACTCCCCCTGGTGGTAGCATAGAGATAGGGCAGATAGCATTATTTACCCTTATACTTCATCATATCTTTTAAGGATATACAGTGGGGCAAAAAAGTGTTTAGTCAGCCACCGATTGTGCAAGTTCTCCCACTTAAAATAATGACGGAGATAAATTCTTTTAAAATCCTACAATGTGAAATCCTGGATTTTTTTTTCACATTCTGTCTCTCACAGTTGAAGTGTACCTATGATGAAAATTACAGACCCCTGTGATTATTTGAAGTGGGAGAACTTGCACAATCGGTGGCTGACGAAATACATTTTTGCCCCACTTGTATATCAATTTGTCTTTCTCAAACATTAAATGAAAAAGTCAAGTTATTATTATTCAATGGCCAAAAATAATGCATCGTATTTCTTCTTCAATATTAGAGAAGATGGAAGTTCCTATAAGCCATGCTGATACTGTCAACCACATCCTCACGGTGGTTATATTGTGGCTTGTTATCGTGGCTTTCCTGTTTAGAGCACTATTTCTTGGCAACTTTCATCTATTGATGTTTTCATACAAATGTACCCAGTGTCACAAAATTGAGAAGTAGGGAGTTCATTTTGAAAGAAGGGTGTACTCGTGAGATGCTCAGACCAACAAAAATCCAAGGCTCTCCAGAGATAATATCAAAATGCCTGTATTGTTATTTGTTACACACACCAACTTGTTTCAGTTCAAAATTGCGTTCCTCAGTATACTATTTCCAACATCATTTCTATTTTCTTTGTGTGTTTTAGGATAGTTTGTGATGAATATGCAGCCGCTCAGGGAAGAATCAGTGGTGATCGAGACATCACACACCACTGTGCACTATCTGGACAAACTCCGGAACAGAAAAAAACCTTTGCGCTACATGCAGAAGGATGGCAGGTTCCCTGTGGACATCCACACATCTCCTGGGGGCTGGTGTCCATACGTCACGGACATTTTCACCACTTTGGTCGAGTGCCGCTGGGCGTGGATGTTCCTCATGTTCTCCTTGTCTTACATCCTCTCCTGGATTTTCTTCGGGCTTTGCTATTGGCTCATCGCTCACGCCAACGGAGATGAATACAATGAAGATGACGATTTGTGTGTGTACAATGTGCGTGGATTCACTTCTGCGTTTTTATTCTCAATGGAGACTCAGGCCACGATCGGCTACGGTTTCAGAGGCATGTCGGAAAACTGCATCGTGGCTATCATAGTGGTCACAATACAAGACGTGTTCAGCTGCCTTTTAGATACCATAATCATTGGCATAGTAGTTGCGAAAATGGCCTCAGCGTGCAAGAGAGCTCAGACTGTCGGGTTCAGCAGCTGTGCAGTGGTCAACTTAAGAAATGGCGTGCTGTGCTTGTCGTGGCGGCTTGGAGACTTCCGGGGAAATCACATAGTGGACGGAGTTGTCAAAGCACAATTAGTTCGCCACATAAAGCAACCCATGGCTGGCTCATTGAGGATGGTGTATCAACACATAGAGGTGGAGGAAAGAGAGGTGGTCCTGGCTACCCCTGCTACTATCATTCACAAAATTAACCACAACAGTCCACTTTATACATTAGGTCCCGAGGATATCAAGCAGGACACGTTTGAAATAGTGGTTTCCTTCACGTATACAGGTGACTCCACTGGCATGCTCCATCAGACAAGGACCTCCTTCAGCCCCTCAGACATTCGCTGGGGGCAGAGGTTCCAGGAGATGCTGAAGCCCGGGAAGAAGCATTACAAGGTGGACTACGCACGCTTCAATGAGACAAACTGGGTCCCAGTGCCCATGATGAGCGCAGAGGAGTATGACAGAGAGAGGAGTTCTCTCAATAACAACGAAGCCCAGTATCAGCTGTTTAAACCAGTGCTGTGTTCCACCAGTCCAGATGTTATTGAAGTTGTGCAGCAGACCTCTTTGTAACATATATGTATATATCTTTTTGCTTTGCTTTTCTTGCATTTGTGAGCCAGTGAAGGGGGAGAGGTGTAGGGTCAGAGAGTTTTTGGGCCTTGTCTGTTAGTGTGTGTGCATGCGTGCGTGTGTGTGCGTGCAAGGTTAAGAATCTGCTTCATCCGACCTATTTATCCTAATTATCATGTATTTTTGAGCACATGTGTTTGAAATTAAAAAAAATATGCTAGCATTCTTTACGTAATATTGTTAATTCATTCTATGTACATGGCAGTGGCTAAGTGTAGCCACAGCTGCCCTGGGGTGGAAGGCTGCCAACTATTCCCTCCCACACCAGACTCATACTAGTCTATGTGAGTGAAGTGTCTTCTGTGAAGACACAACAGCAGTTTGGCACTTTATCCTCATTTGGCACCAGGCAGTGACGTGCGGTGAGGTTGGTGATTGGTGAGGCACTGACTTCACCCCAATCAGATAAACATAGATCATATAAATCAACAGGACCTACAGAGTGGCTTATTCACAATTTGTTTGGCTACAGCAGAACATGTTTCATGTCCACATTGTTTGCTCATACCAAACACAAAAGTTTGTAAAAAAACACATTTAAGTGTAGTTTAAGTGGGGCTTACCTCAATGTAAACGTGAACTGCAGACCACTTCAGTTCAGACCAGTTTCATGTTTTAGTCCAGATAATAGTTTAAGCGTAGATATGTAATCCTCCATTTAGAAATAAGTCCAATGAGTTTTAAAAAGTAAAACAAAACGGGTGTCTCCTCCATAAACTCCTCTCATGTTTCGCTGTATGGTTTCGCTGGCTGCAGCCGAGTCGGTACATACAATTTCTAATATCAAACTTCTTACCCTTCACCTCTCTTCCTTATAATTCCTATCATCATTGGAAGTATAAAATTACCCCTAAGTGAATTTTAAATATTCTTACAATGTGTTACATGTATTTTAGCCAAACCTGTAGCTGCCTTTAGCAGTAGAAAAACAAGAAAAGGGCTTTCTGATGAAATGGGATGCAGCCGAATTCTTGGCTCACATGCGCCCCCTACCCTGAGGCTGGCCTCATTTGGTGACATTACAAGCCGTGGTTTGAGCGCGATTAAGACCCATATTTGTTGTCAAAACACAATTTATGACCCATCCTCTCAACTGTAGACATGTAGATTGTAAATGAAATATGTTTGAACTTTGTAAACCTCGATAAACAGAGAAAACAGTTCGATAGCAGCGCACGGGCTCCTGCCTCTGTGAACTACAGGCATTTACGTCTCTCAAGTGAGGCTCGCCTCACAGCGCACCGCTCTGTCAAATATGAGAAAATATGACAAAAATATGCGATTTCAAGGTAAAAATTAATGAAATAAGGCAAAATTACATGCAAGTAATACAATAACATAAATCACTTGATCACTCTTTTTTCTTCCCATGATTGTAGGTGAGGCCTCATCTGACCGCACGTCACTGGCACCAGGTGTTACCAGGGGTCTCCCATCACCTTACTAACTAGACCCTACACTTCTTAGTCTCTGAGATCTGACTAGATCAGCTTTCACACGCAGCTGGAATGTTAACCTATAGTTTAAATATTGTTTTTACTTTATTTTTTAAAGATGGTCACATCACATACAATGTTACCGTAAAACTTTATTATAGAATTATAAGTTCCACCTCTTCTTCTAAGAATGACCCTTGATTAGTGCAAATCACTCAGAAGGACAAGTTAATGAAATGATACACATTTCATTAAAACTGTTATCATAGTAGATTCAGGATTGGGACGAGTGCTTTGCTTTTGTTTGTTATGCTTATTGCTGGCTTTGTAATTAAGTAAATTAGATACAGATGCAGTAGACACAGATACAAACCACAACATGCTTTGAGAGGACAATTTAAAGCCGAACAGCTCCACCTTGTGTTAAGAAAGTGCACTCAAATCAGCACAATGGATTCAACTTCTCAATAAATGATTTTAGACCTCACTCAAGAGTAAAACAGAACATACAGCTAACTTATCATAGACACTCAACGAATGAATAGATACATTTTTTTATTGTTTTTTGTTCTCCGACTGGATGTGCGGAGTTAAAGGCGTCATTCGGTCACTTCATTCGGACATGAAAGCTGGACGCGCGCTGCGGCTCGCCATTGGTCCGTGCGCCACGGGGGACGTCAGCGGTCCACGTGCTTTCAAAAGTGCGTGAATCCAAAGACCCCGAAAGTCTATGGTCAGAACTAGTGCAGAGAGCGATGGCAGCATCCACAGCGACTGGCGCGAACTTCCGTGAACAAAGTGTCAGAGCAGCAGCAGGAACAGCGAGAGAGAGCCAGCCTGCGCCATGGAATACAACTGAGAGACCCGCCAAGGATTTTAATATTACACTGCGAACGTACGGTACGTGTCCATCAAGCTTTTAATTCATGTTTTCAATATACTGTCTGTGACTATAGTGAATATTTGTGTTCAAACCATTATGGCATCATAGAGACTAAACCAGAAAACATTGGTGGATTGGTTTGCTCATTCATGGCATTTGCATTATGTTCATTATTAATATGTTAAGATTCTGATTATTAGTATTATTGTTATTGTCATTTTTATTATTATTATCATCATCATCATCATCATTATAATTATTATTATTATTATTATTATCATTATTATTATCATTATTATTATTATTATTATATTACTATTATTATTATTTTTATTTTATTATTGTTATCACAACGAGTACGATAGTATTCAACATCATAAACATACAAATAATGATGAAATTAGGATATTATTTCAGAAAGCTGCGTTGTGTTGCTGCTTTCAGTGCTTGTTGCATGCTATTAATGTTTTATTACGTCTGACAAATATGCGCATTTAGTACATGTCTGAATATGTATTACAAGTGCATAATGATTTGGTTTTAGTATTGATTAATGTAATAGCAAATGGAGCAGGTTTATGTAACTACTTCCATCTGCATCAGCTGCTGCTGTGCTCAAATGCACACATGCAAAACAAACAATCACAGGGTGCATGCCACCATTAACAAACCCGCTGAGAAACCTGATGAGAATATATGGATTGCATCACTAAGTATGACGCAATATTTAGGTGTGAAAATAACAGTATCTGCCACAACTTTGATTAGTGTTGTGATAAGTGTATTTATAAAACACCTGAAACAATGGCAAAGGAAAACAAAAATAAAGTTTGAAGGTAAAAGTCAACACAAGTCACAGATAATGTCTCCAAGTGTCCAATTTGCTTTTTTACATTCATTTTAAGTATTTTTGCGTGAATATTTTCTTACTAAGCTGCCCTCTATTTACGTGTGATACAATATATTTTAGTCACAGGATATAGCATGTTCCATTTGATCAAAATAATTAGCAAATTACATTAAGTTACATCAAGTTTCCGTCTCATCAGTTACGTACAGTATATAGTGTCTTGATAGATCTTGTTGCTCACTGTTAAAGTGAACTTGAGCTGTAATTTGACTCAGCTTTCCATTGACCAACACTGTCTACTTAATAATTACATTAAGACATGTACATTTAAGTTCTCACTTTTTGGAGAAAAAGTTTGATCATATGTGCTTATCGTTTGTTTATGGAGTATTGTCGTGGTCATGATTGTAAACCATAGGTACTGTACATGTTGATGTCTTTGTCAGGAGTCAGAACAGTGGTGTAAACTTGAGTGTACTATAATGCATAAATTAAAAAGTAGGTAACTACGCACTCACACACTCTGATCTCTGCTCTTCTTCCACCTAATTATGTTAAAACTCTCTGTAATTTCCACAGGCCGCTTCACTGATGAGGTCTAAATCTGACATCAAAAAGGAGTGACCACCTCCGGACCACTGGGCCTTTGACTACTCAGCCCATCAGGATATATTCCTGATTAAAACTTTTCTGCTAAAGTTGGTACCAGGATTATTTAAAACTGTTTCTCCAACGCTTCTACCAAAAACTCAGACTGTTTTCCAAAGCTGAGCTGGCAGAGCCCTCCCAGGCCGAAGGAATGGGGAGTGTGCGAAGCCACCGCTACAGCATTGTGTCCTCTGAGGAAGATGGCATGAAGCTGGCCTCCATCGCTGTCCCAAACGGCTATGGGAATGGCAACATGACCAAGGTACACACGGAGCGCCCCCAGCAGAGCCGCTTTGTCAGTAAGGACGGCCACTGCAATGTGCAGTTCATCAACATGCGCGAGAAAGGCCAGCGCTACCTTGCTGATATCTTCACCACTTGTGTGGACATTCGCTGGCGATGGATGCTCCTGGTTTTCTGCTTGTCTTTCCTGCTGTCATGGCTGTTTTTTGGTTTTGCTTTTTGGCTAGTAGCATATATATATGGAAACTTGGAGAACAACACTCAAATGTGTGTTTCCAATGTTGACAGCTTCACTGCTGCCTTTTTGTTCTCGGTGGAGACCCAAACAACGATCGGCTATGGCTACCGCTATGTGACAGAAGAGTGCCCCATCGCTGTGTTCATGGTGGTCTTCCAAAGCATTGTGGGCTGCATCATCGATGCTTTCATCATTGGAGCTGTCATGGCTAAAATGGCCAAACCCAAAAAAAGGAACGAGACACTGGTGTTTAGCCACTACGCCACTGTGGCCATGAGGGATGCAAAACTGTGCCTGATGTGGAGAGTGGGGAACCTGAGGAAGAGCCACCTGGTGGAGGCGCATGTACGTGCACAGTTACTCAAGTCCCGCACCACAGCAGAGGGGGAGTTCATCCCTCTTGACCAGGTAGACATCGACGTGGGCTTTGACAGCGGCATCGACCGCATCTTCCTGGTGTCTCCCATTACTATTGTGCATGAGATCGATGAAGACAGTCCTTTCTATGAGATGAACAAGCAGGAGCTGGAGACATCTGACTTTGAGATTGTAGTGATCCTGGAGGGGATGGTGGAGGCCACAGCCATGACCACTCAGTGTCGCAGCTCCTATGTGGCCAGTGAGATCCTCTGGGGCCACCGCTTTGAGCCTGTGCTCTTTGAAGAGAAAAACTATTACAAAGTAGACTATTCCCGCTTTGATAACACATACGAAGTTCCCAGTACTCCTCAGTGCAGTGCCAGGGAATTAGCCGAGAGGAAGTCTAACTGCAGCTCCAGAAACTCCTTCTGTTATGAGAACGAGGTGGCACTGGAGAAAGTGGAGATGGAGGAAGAGTTTGAGGAAGAGGAAGAACACAAAGTTTTGAGGGTCATAGAACCCCTTAATGATTCAAACATTGACTTGGTCTCAGAATGTGACCCCAACATAGACTCTTTGACACTGGAAGAAAGGCCTTTGACTGCAGAATCTGAAATATGAGCTTGATGATGTGATTGTGATGTTAGAACGGATTCAGCCTCAATCATTCATGTTTTAATAACAACACCTGAGCGATATGTGCTTCCATGTCATTTATACATGTTTTGTCAAATGGTTATAAATGCTCCACTATTTATAAGATGCAGAATATTTATATTTGAAAATATCACAGAATAGATCAGCTTTCATTTGTTCAGTTATAAAATACATGTTGGAATACCGGTGTTTAGCTAAAAACTAAAGAAATAAAGGAAACCTATGATTTATCATATATTAAACCTAATAGCCTTGAGATTAATATATTAAGCACTTGCTATGATGAAATAGCCTCCTCCAGCAGCAGTGTTAAAGAGCTGGCCTCCTAACCAAACTCTGCTTTTAAGTGTGACGCAGTATAAAAGAGTGACAGACTGACGACATGGACAACATACTCCTGATGCTCACGTCTCACGTCTTGTCTAAGTTTAGCATCTCTTTCTCTGTGCGCCTTAACGAAGCCTCAGCCTCAGGAGACCCCAGTCTTTAGACCAGGCACACACGTCTTTAGAACTACAGCAATAAGACGCAGATCATGCACACACTACTATTTTCATGTGCAATACAGTTTAGTGGGACAACCTGAGCTGAAAAACAAGTGAATGTCAAGTGAACGAGAAATGCTGCTAAGTTACATATTGTATTTGTAGACATTTAAATCTAGCCAAAGGGTGTTATTTCCCTTTAGAAATATGTGTTTTTGAGTTCGAAAATTCAGTCTATAATGTTTTTCTTAGTGCTAGACAAGCATGAGACTCTTGAAGTGTTTTATAAGCTTTAGTTGCACTTTCCTGCTATATTCTTTGACCCAAAGCCAAATGTTTGTTGTTATATGAGTCAATAATAATGGATGACCAGGTTAATATAGACCTTTTTGTCCCTTTCTGTATGTGAATAACTACGTTGGTTTTGGGCAGACTCGGACTGCTCTGCTCTCGTACTTCTTCTGTGGGTCTTGTCAACTTCCGTATAAAAAAGACCCTTCCTTTGTCTTATTAACAAAGATCAGATTCTAACTCCTGTGTTGGATCGCAGGTCCACACCCACTTCAGTCTTACATTGTGTTCTTTTCTTGGTTAACAAATTCATGTAACATCAGGTGAAGGAGAGCATCCTGCAGACATTGCACTGTTCACTTTGCATCTTATCTGCTGATTATTATTACTCTCCTTAGGTCTCTATTTTTCTACCAGGGTCTTCCCATCCTCCATTGAGAATGTACAGATTTTATATCTTTTGTAAATTAGATTGAGACCATTGCAGTTGGTGAAACTGTCATGTCCTTGGATTTTTAATAAAACTGAAAAATATCTTTCATCTGTGTTTACATCAGTGCACAATGAATGTCTGCTTTTCCTAAATATAGGCATCTGGAGCGTTTCACTGTGGACACATGCAGCACTTTCAGGGTAGTTAGAGTGGGCATTGTCATTTACTATATTTCACTAAAGTCAAGCACTTTCCGAAAGACCCAGGCTTTAGAGCGCTCTGCTGGAAGTAATTTACACTGTATGGAGAATGTTTCGTTACATTTTCCAAATCTTACAGTAAATTGTGGAAAAGAATTTCCGATCTGAAAACATAGAAGTTACCCTCCCAGGTGCGTGTGCCGTTTCAGTGGTGTGGTTCTATTTGTGAATCATAAATCAGTTTGCTTCAATGTTCAGGGGTGACAATGGTGTTTGCTCACACAGCCATGATAAATATAACCCCTTAATACAGTAAACACTGGCAGGTGTAGATTCTCCTACAACAGACCTGGGAAAATTGTGGCCATTTAAATTAATGGAAGTCAAAACCCAAAGAAGGCTGGCAACTTATGGCATGTTTCTTTTAAATACGGTCACAGTATTTATTTTCTCCAGTCCTACACTATGAAACAATGAAACAGTAATATTTCACCAAACAATAATACATCTACAATACCCAGGCGTCCAGTTTTGGTTAAATCCAAGCAAAAACTCAAATTGTTCAGAACAAAAAATCAATCAAGAATATCCAAAAAGATATACCCAAATTGTAGATGCAGCTATAAAGAAGCTTTCCACAAGCACAACAAAAACATTGGATATCTTGGCTCCACGTTTCCCTCACCTTGTCTTCTGTAAAGAATTTTAAATGTTTATCCAATTCACACTTTTAAATATATCCAATTGAAGTACAGTAGCTTTCAGTCTGTTATTTGAATATAGCCAATATACGTGTATTTTACCAAATGAAATGACTATGTGACTACATGAAAACAGGTCTCCACATATGACGATTTCCCCGTGTCCCCCCCCCTCAGAGAAAACAAGTGCCCACCCCCGACCTACAATGACACATGTGAACTCCCACTTGGTCATAGTCTGTTAATGGTGCTAATGGTTGGAAGCCTGTGTAAGAGCTTGTCAGCGCTGACTTTCCAGGGGGAAAAGCTGTATCGGATGTAGCCTAGTATGTCGTTATTATACATCTGGGCATGTGTTTAATGCTGCCAGCTTGGGACATAACGGGACATTCAGGGAGGAGCTATTGATCAGGCTGGGGATGCAGTGAGCTGATTTGATTTGGTTCTACATAGGAAGTGGGTGCCGCCGCTGGGCATTTTCCACATTTGTCAATGAACGTGTCATAAAAGTGCTGCTTGAAGCTTGAAAAGCGCAGTTTTCTTTTTTTTTCTTTTTTTTCAAAACAGTACAAAAGTTTACATATGATTTACAAATGAAAGAAAAATGAAATATTTGCTGTAGTTGTTTACCCACAATTGTGACCCCTTCTTTTTCCGCTGTCCTGGAGAATCTTGTGAATCTTAAGAGCGGAATTGTATCTCTACGCATGCTTGCTGTTTCGTGTGCAATAGTTTCAAAGAAATCCAGAGCAGGACTTCTATTAGGCTCAGGCAGGATGGGCCAGTGGGATTCTGTCAATGCGAGCGATGACGTCCCTCTGGCAGCCACCCCAACATCGAGCTTTTCTGCAGCAGCCTCATCAGTCTGACCTTCACATTAGAGAGGTGAATAAAAACACAAACAACACACAAGTTGATATGGCATTGCAGAATCTGTTAAATTTAGGGAGGAAAGCAACAGCATTCGAACAAACCTATTCTTCAAACTAAAACCAGTATTGAGAATGTGCACACTGACATGTCTGGTCTGTGTCACTCACTGTTACACCGAGGACATTAATAACATGGAGTTGTACAATCATTGGCAGATTTATTGTTCACAAGGAAGTGAGTCTAGTCTGGAAAAAGTCTCTTTGAGTGTATTTATGAAAAGGTGTTATATCACCAACACTAAATCGGAGTAAGGAAACAAAGAAGAATGCTGACGTCACAATGAAGTTACAAAACATGAAATCCTCTTTTGACTGTTGCAATTAACTGTCTCGGAGTGACGGTGACAGGATTTAATTTGGTAGGCCTAATTATATAATTCTGATTATGTGGTAGTTGCGTAAGAACTTGACAATGTGATGGGCAAGACCAAACCTTTAATGTGTTCAGTCCTCAAGAGAAGAGGGCAGACTTGAGGACGATTTGACCTCATTGGCTCAAGCAGGGTCCAAGTACGATAAGCTTTCTTTAGACATGATCGTGCACCAATAACTACTGTATTAGTTATTAGTTCACAATACTTGACCCATTCTGGTTCACTTGCTGGAAGGGGGGGTATGGACCATAGACCCATGTGAAGGTGGTAAAGACCCATGTGCGTCACCACAACACAATTAATTCAATGAAACTTAATATTTCAGAAGGTTGAATTTTTCATAGCACTATGGTCTCTGAGCAATCCACTTAACACAACTATTGCTATATTTTTGTGAAACATTACTGTAAATCATGAACACTGACACCAACCCCAAACTAGTGTAGAATCAACAAACAAACAGGCCAGATCAGATTGTTTGGGCAGCAGGTTGAATGGCCCTGCTGTAGGATGTGGGCTGATTGGGTGTGTAACCTGATTCACTTTTCCCAATAAAGGGGACTTGGAAGGCAAGCAAGAGCTGTTTCTTTCTTTCAATGGGAACAGAGATTAATACATCGTTGTTTTGTGGCTTCAATTTTGTGATTCTGCTTTAATAGCAGTTTATTCATGTTATATTAGATTATTAGATGAGCCTCTTTTACGATCAATAATAATAATAATGTAACTAATTTAGTGCTTTTCACTATTATTTACAACATACAAAAGGCGCTTTGCATTTAAGACAGGCACATTAAATTAAACAAGACCATTTGGAGTTAACCAAAGGAAGTGTAGTGTGTGTAGTAAGTATGTATTGTGTAAATATACAAAAGAGTGTGGAAGAGTCTTGGTATGGGCAGGAAGTTCCAGTGGGTTGGGGCGGTGGAGAGAGTTCTGCACCCCAGGTCTTGAGCATGATCCTGGGAGGGAGAGGGGTTGTATGGATGGAGAAGCTCAGACAGGTAAGTGGGGGTCAGGTTCAGGGTTCGGGTTTCTTTGTTTGCACCCACAAGTAAATTTGTCCAGCAGTTTGAGAGAGCAGAGAGAGATTTGCAGATGACGATGAGAAGCTTGATGTTAATGCTTTGGAGGATAGGGAGCCAATGGAAGTCTCTGAGGACAGGGGTGATGTGTTCACGCGAGGTGGTGCGAGTGAGGAGGCGAGCAAAGTCTATTTAGAAGTTAGTACTGTAGCGTGAAGCAACAGGTGACGAAAGCATGTTCCGGAGGTGAGAAAAGGCTTCGGTGATGTGTTGTTGTGCTCGTAGGAGAGTGCTTGGTCAAAGAATATGCCAAAATTCCATAGGTATTCCATTGAGATGATTTTAGTTGTTTTACTGATGATTTTTTATTTTTTGCCAAGATTGGATTTCTGTGAAGGAAGTGATGAAAGTCAATGAAAGTGATGTAAGTGGATTTGTTAGAAATGTATAGTGGGCCGTGGGATTATGTGAGGGATAATGTACAGAAAGAGGAGGGGGGCCGAGAACTGAACCTTGAGGGACA